CCCTATCTCTGTCACCTCCTCCAGCCCCTACACCCCCTCCCTATCTCTGTCACTCCCCTCCATCCCCCTACACCCCCTCTCTATCTCTGTCACCCCCTCCAGCCCCCTACACCCCCTCCCTATCTCTGTCACCCCCTCCAGCCCCCTACATCCCCTCCCTATCTCTGTCACCTCCTCCAAACTCTACACCTCCTCCCTATCTCTGAAAACTTCTCCAGCCCCTCCCTACCTCTTTTATCTCATCTAGCCCCTACATCACTCACTATCCTGTAACCTGAGGAGGGAGTGAGGAGGGAGTAAGGAGGGAGTGAGCAGGGGGTAAGGAGGGAGTGAGGACGGTGTGAGGAGGGAGTGAGGACGGAGTCAGGAGGTGTGAAGAACGGTTAAGGAGGGGCTGAGGAGGGAGTGAGGAAGGTGTGAGGAGGCAGTGAGGAGGGAGTGATGAAGGTGTGGGGAGGGAGTGAGGACGTGGTGAGGAGGGTGTAAGGAGGGGGTGAGGAAGGAGTGAGGAGGGATGAGGAGAGAGTGAAGAGGGAATGAGGAGGTAGTAAGGAGGGATTTGAGGATGGGGTGAGGAGGGAGTGAGGAGAGATTGTGGAGGGAGTGAGGAGAGATTGTGGAGGGAGTGAGGAGTGAGTGAGGAGGGTATAAGGAGGGAGTGAGGAGAGTAGTGACAATTGAGTGAGGAGGGATTGCGGAGGGAGTGAGGATGGGTTGAGGAGGTGGTGAGGATTGAGTGAGGAGGGATTGTGGAGGGTAGTGAGGAGGTAGTGAGGATGGGTTAAGGATGAGTGAAGACGGTATTGAGGAGGTTGTGAGGAGGGAGTGAGGAGGGATTGTGGAGGAAGTGAGGAGGGAGTGAGGAGGGAATGAGGAGAGATTGTGGAGGGAGTGAGGAGAGATTGTGGAGGGATTGAGGAGGGATTGTGGAGGGAGTGAGGAGGGTATAAGGAGGGAGTGAGGAGAGGAGTGAGGATGGGTTGAGGAGGTGGTGAGGATTGAGTGAGGAAGGATTGTGGAGGGTAGTGAGGAGGGAGTGAGGATGGGTTAAGGAGGGAGTGAGGCGAGTGTAAGGAGGGGATGAGGAGGGAGTGAGGATGGGTTAAGGAGGGAGTGAGGAGGGTGGAAGGAGGGGATGAGGAGGGAGTGAGGATGGGTTGAGGAGGGAGTGAGGAGGGTGGAAGGAGGGGATGAGGAGGGAGTGAGGATTGGTTGAGGAGGGAGTGAAGAAGATATTGAGGAGGGAGTGAGCAGTAATGGACTGTAATGTTAACTATGAGCTTATTTCTTTCGTGTTCCACTGATTCAATGAAGCTGAAAGTTAAACTTTAACTCGGTTTCCCTGACTACTTTGTACCTCAGTCCCTCTGTACCT